ACATAGTGTTTATATTATATTATTTCCCTACTCTTACTGTTTTTTATACTGTTTTTTCTCTATCCACTTTGTTGCTGTAACATTGGAATTTCCCCATTGTGGGACAAATAAAGGAATATCTTATCTTATCTCAAAACCCAACAATATAATCAATAAAAAAAATAATTAATTAGTAAAAAAAAAGAGCTAAAAACACCTCCTGTGGTAATTCCCCACCATATATTGTTAAAACATAAACATTAATGTGTAACGTTATTTGACTTCCCTCTGCAGTTTATTTTGAAAGGCTGCACCGGAAACTGGCGGGGCTAACATCGCTGTTGACAGCTGGAAGGAAAAAGGCGTAAACAGCGAACACAACCGGACCCGGTTCCCTCTCCGGTTCCCTCTCCGGTTCTCAGCAGCCCGTCGGTGTCCTCCTCCGTGCCCCCCCGGTACCGTCCGCGGCGGTCACACCGACTGTCAACCCCCCCCCGCCCCCCTCCCGGGAAACACACAGACTGACGGGGCGTTAGCCAGCTAGCCGTGTAGCATTAGCGTTGTTAGCATTAGCGTTAGCACCGGACGATAAATAAAGATAAATAAAGATAAAAACAGATAAATAAAGATGATAGCGCTCATCAACAAGCTGCTGGACTGGTTCAAGGCTCTGTTCTGGAAGGAGGAGATGGAGCTGACGCTGGTCGGCCTCCAGTACTCGGGAAAAACAACATTTGTAAACGTGATCGCTGTAAGTCTTCAGCTGCTAGCAGAGCTCGCTAGGGGCAGTGCTAATGCCATTAGCGCTAATAATGGGATAATGGGCTCGTACAACAACTCTCTGGTTGTCGGGTCCTAAAAACGATGTGATTTTGACCCTGTCGGGAGGGAAGCATCCATAGAAACAAGTCTGAAAGTGAGTCAGGTAGTTGTTCCTGTGTCAACAAGTCAGCTGAGCTAACTCGTTTGCTCCTAATCTACCAGGGGCTTTTAAATGTGTTCTGATTGTATTGCATGCTAAACTCCAATACGGGTGCATACATTGGCTCCCTTGTGGCTTAAGATTTGCTCACTTTTCACACTGAGTTCAAAGCTGTCAGCTGTCTGTCAGCCTCCAGGAAGTTAGCTGAAAAAACATGTTGACCATTACAGCAACTGCACATTACAACACTGTGTCTGCTTTTGTAACAGGTTGAACCTGACCTCAACTCCAAAGCAGCGAAGACAAGTTGCAGTCAGTAGACACTGAGTTACAGGCATATTTAGACAGATAAAACCTGTGTTTAAAGTTATTGTTGGTGTTGATGTCTGAATGCATGTGGCAGAAAACAGATTCCTTCAACACGCCAACAAAAGTGACAAGAGTAACTAGTTTCCAAGCATTGTTCAGTTAAATGGAGGATGTAACTTAAACAGCAGTTGATGCTTTCTGTAACTATCTGACACAACTCCCATTGCAGTAGCCTCGGCTGCAAATGATGCAAATGATCATAATGACATTTTATCTTCTGCGTCTGTTCTTTTTGCAGGCCGTTTCTCTTGTGCAAGTGTTTGCAGGGGTTTCTTCAAACTGCTGTTTCTCGTGGAGCAATGTTTTTTTTATTGGCTAATTACTAGACAGCAACAGAGTTTTTAGCAGCATATTGTTAGAAACCTTTTTGCGCTCATGCATCTTACTCCATCGGCTCTCTCTGATGAACAATCAAACATTTTACTGTGCATCCTTTGGTGTGCAGTGAGGGAGGAAACACCCTTGCATCCTAATCATGATAGATAAAACTTGGAGCGATCAAAGTCTGCAGATAATTAATAACGTCAGAGGAAGAGACGTGAAGGAAGTCTTTGCACCCGAGATATGGATTTTTTTAGGCCTTTTCCTCTCACAAAACCCTTGAGGCTGTGGCGGTCTGTCTTATTTTAATCTGTGCGATTGACGATCTGGATATCTTTCTGTGTGTTTAAAAAAACCTTTTTAAAGTGGATTGACATTTGCAACACATCTCTCACAGCTGAAACAGTGACCTGATTAGTAAAAGTACAACTATTGTTTTAATCAATTTATTGGGAAAGTTGTGTTTCAACATTCAATGGTATCAGCTTCTTTTTTTAATCTTTGTAAACTTTTAATTTTCATGAATGAAGGCATCACCTTGGGCTTTAGGAAAC